GCCGCGCTTCTGCAGACAAGTGAACAATTTGTTCAACAATTCAGTTGTGCTGACCCTTTCACCTTGCGTTTGCCTCATTCCTTTTGACCTGGGAACTGAATGTAACTGAATACAATTGTCAGAGTGTGTTTCGCTCAGCCGTCCCACTCGGGTGCTGAGTGTGATCCCCGTCATTGGGGCGCCGTTTTATTGGGAAAGCATTAACCGACCTCACCACCCCTCACAGGAACTCCACTGGAATTCACCTCCACTTCCACCGAATTAACTGCCACAAAGGCCGCCGGGCCTAAACACGGGATTTGCCATTTCGCAGAGATTGCATTTTTCCGCATGATCTTGCATGTTCACTCAAGCAGTCTGACCTGAGTTTTCAGCATTTTAATTCGATTTGCATGAACACACTACAACACCACATACTAACGTTCCACACGACTACAAAGGAAAAAGCGCCGATTACGGCGATCTGTGTGTGTCAACCCCTGGGCCAAGGGTTCACCTTTACCACCACCTTCACCACAGTTTCACACACAGGGGAGTGGTGCGCGGTCTTGGAGTCACCACTCAACGAAGACACTCCTTGCACCGAGGCGAAATCCGGAAGGGACGCCTTCTGGACGTACCTGCGCTGAACACACTGACTCCACTGGTTCCCCTCGCCGCTGTTCTTTGTTTTCATGGTTGTTCCCATGCTACCTTCCCCATAAACAGGTTTCCCACAGCTGCTTTCAGCCGCCGTCGTTCAGCCGCGCTTCTGCAGACAAGTGAACAATTTGTTCAACAATTCAGTTGCGCTGACCCTTTCACCTTGCGTTTCCCTCATTCCTTTTGACCTGGGAACTGAGTGTAACTGAATACAATTGTCAGAGTGTGTGCCCCTTGGAGTCACAGGGATTCTTTTGAATTGTACCCTGAGCTTTCTTCATTTAGGGCAGGGGGTAGCGGCAGATCACTTGGGACCGCTACCAACGAAGACACCCATTTGATCTGGTGAAATCAGAGTTGGCCACTCTGACGTACCTGCTTTGAATTTTAACCTTTGCTGAGTTGAGCTTGACACTCCGCAGACTTGCACGCTACGTCGTCACCCTGTCGTTTCGACTTCGACTTGCGAGTTTGGCCCCTTCTCCGTTTGAGGACCCCGAGGCTCCAGCGGTTTCCTACTTGTACTCTTAGGAAATGGTACCCCAGGCCGGCGTGTGGCACCGCTTTCAGTTCCGTACACCCTATCCTAAGTGTGTCTTTTCTAGTGAGAGCCCGTGATGAGCCCGCAGAGTGCCTCCCTTGGACCCATTGAACGGGGGTTTGTCTTTATCTCCCCTCCCCGGAGATGTACGTGCCCAGAGCGGGCGAAGTAGGCTTCGGCCAAAGTTATTTGCCAAGACTTGCTGAATGATTGAATTCCAAGCTGGCTCATGCCCTTACGTGACCGCAGCGGTCCAAGCTGGCTCAACGCCTCAACGTGGTCAGAGCGACCGAAGTAATTTGGAGGTTCGTTGGAACCTGTCGGAGCCTTAGCTTTCTAGAGGACACACAGAGAAATCCGTCAGTTTCGCTAGTCTCACAGAACCCGCAGGCTTGGAGCTTAAAATTGCCTCCCCTCGGGGAGGCGTGTGTGTGTGTGTGTGCCCCTTGTAGTCACAGGGATTCTTTGGAATTGTAGTTTTGAGCAGGGGAAGCTTGCTTGGAGATGAAGTACACCTCATTGATTGGAATTCTTGTTGATTGGAATTCTTGAAATGCTTGGAGACGAATTACACCTCGTTGATTGGAATTTTTGACACGCTTGAAGATGAAGTACTCGTTGATTGTGGAACTCTTGACATGCTCGATCAAGACTCGCCTTCGAGAACTTTGGCCACCTCATCTCCTACAGCGAGCCTCCCAACTCCTGCTTCGACGGCTTCTTCGACTTTGACTCCGTCGCCTTCGTCTCGGCAGGCGGTTGCGGCGGACACTTTGTCTAGCGACGCCGAACCCCACGTCAGTCTGACCTCTGGCGGTCGTCGGCAAAACTCGGCAAAGGTAGTCGACCGAGCTCCTGACTCTACAGTAGCTAGGGCGTCACATTCTTGACATGCTTGGAGACGAAGTACACCTCGTTGATTGAAACGAAGTACACCTCGTTGATTGGAAATCTTGGAATTCTTGCCACCCTTGCC